AGGACTCAGCACCATCGCACTCAGCACGTGCCACCCAAGAATGGTTATAAAATGAGGTTCCTCGATTCCAGCGCACAATGGCCACCAAAATCTCCGGATACCAATCCGTTGGACTATTGTGTCTGGAGTATTTTGGAAAGCAAGGTTGGCATTAAAATATACTAAAGTGTCGATCACCTCAAGCAAGCGCTTCGTCGGGAATGGGCCAATATACCGCAGAGTAACATTCGGGCAGCGTGTGACGGTTTCATTGGCCGTTTGAAGGCCATAATTCGTGCCAAAAAATAATGGCCTAAATTCTAAAATTGTATGCTATTTCCGACATTTTTACTTTTGTTCAATAAAATGTAAAAAAAATTAAAAATTATAACGTTTGACTTTGTTGCATTTTTTCTATCTCACCCTGTAAATAATATATTACAAATCGATTTAGGTCTAATCTGGAACGTTGTAATATTTATGTCAAACTGAGGTCGAATGCAAAATGACTTAGGTCTGATAAGTCAGCAATCTACAGGGTTGCCCATATTCGACGGACCCATCTGGCAACGCCATAACTTTTGACAGTGATGTCACATCACTTAATGACATACCGCGTTTGAAGCGTCAGTCCAAGCAGATTTTTACCATACACGCCATGCAAGCGCTCTAAATAGTTGAAATCTACATTCAACAGAAGAAGTCAATTGTGAAAACTCAACGTGCTTTTAAAACTTAAAAAAATGTGAGAAGTGCGCCTTCTAAGAACACCATTAAGCGTTTATACGAAAAATTTTCGACTGGTAAGGCTCTTTCTAATCCGAAGAGGCCATATAAAAGTCGACCAAGGCGATCGGCCGAGAATATCGCTGCCGTACGAGCCAGTGTTGAGAGGTCCCCAAGAACATCCCAAAAACGCCGTTCTCAGCAGTTGGGCATGGCTCGGTCCACTTTACAACGGATTATTCACATTGATTTGCATTTGTTCCCGTACAAAATTCAATTGACGCAAAGAATGTTGCCTGCGGACAAGCCTCGTCGATTGGAATGGGCCCAAAGAGTCATGTGTCCGTCGAATATGGGCAACCCTGTATTTGGCTGGAAAACCACAAGTGGTTATCGTTAGATTACTGCTGCATTTAAATGTGAAAAAAATCATTTGTGTCTCGTACCATCGCTCTTTACCGTGATACTGGTAGTGCAGACGGACGTCAATGAAGTGGTCGGAAGAAAAAAGCAACATCAGCAGAAATGGTCCGCCAAGTCAAGAAGCGACTTGATCGAAATCCGTGTCGCAGCGCACAATGGCCATTAAAATCTCCGGATACTAATCCGTTGGACTATTGTGCCTGGATTATTTTGGAAAGCAAGGTTGGAACTAAAAAATACCAAAGTGTCGATCAGCTCAAGCAAGCGCTTCGCCGGGAATGGGCCAAAATACCGCAGAGTAACATTCGGGCAGCGTGTGACGGTTTCATTGGCCGTTTGAAGGCCATAATTCGTGCCAAAAAAAATATGGCCTAAATTCAAAAATTTGATGCTATTACCAACATTTTTACTTTTGTTCAATAAAAATTAAAAAAAAAATTAAAAATTTTGATATTTGACTTTGTTGCAGTTTTTTTATCTCACCCTGTAAATAGTATATTACAAATCGACTAATCTGGAACGTTGTAATATTTATATCAAACTTAGGTCGAATGCAAAATTACTTAGGTCTGATAAGTCTGCAATCAAAATATATATTCAAATAAACGGACATTGGCTGAGGTTATACATCTGTCGGCAGAACCGACTGATACTTTTTAAATTGTTTTGGAAGAAATTTCCACTGCTCTCTTCGTATAGCCCCCATACAAAGCTACCTCCCGATATTCGGTATTCTGATGATTTTAGCGACATTATTCACCGAGATGTTTCAGATTTGGTATTTGAAGTTCGTAATAGGTACTGCAACCTTAGGTAGAAAATTGTCTGTGCAGCTCCACGTTTTGTATAGCCCCTATATAACGGTACCTCCCGATATTCGGTATTTTGACGATTTTAGCGACAATATTTACCGGAATTGTTTCAAATTTGGTATTTAAAGTTCGTAATGGATACTGCAGCCTTAGGCAGAAAATTATCTGTGCAGTTCCACATTTTGGTATAACCCCCATTTTAATAGTATCTCCCTATATTGACGATTTTAGCTACATTATTCACCGATTTTTTTCAATTGTCGCGTTTGAATATTGTTGCCTATGTAGGTCCACGTCGTCATGTAGACCCTAATATGACGGCTACATTTGGTATTTTTAAGAAGTTTACAGATTTTTCAACGGATTTATTTTTTTTTTTTTTTTGAAAATCGCCAAATTCGTTCCAAATGGTGGAGGGTATTCAAAGTTCGGTCCGGCAGAACTTACAGTTTTTTTACTTGTTTTTTTTTTTTTCTGAAAAAATCTGTTTTTTATTGTAATAATTATGATTGCATTTGAAAATGCATAACACATGTTCCATAAAACGATTTGAGTATTTAAGTGAATACAAAAATTAAAAAAAGAACACAACTCAAAATTATAAACATAAACATGGATAATACTCCTTACGTATAAGTATCGATGATATCTCATTTTAAAACAAGCAAATAACATTAATGTAAACATGCCTGCCATCGATTGAATGCCTGGCCATTCATTCGTTGAATGAATGGATGGATGGATGGTGGGGTGAAGAAATGAATGCCGCTGCTGGAAAGATGGAGTCTTATGGGGCCACAACTTCTCCCCACCACCCACCCCTCTTGCGCTTCAGGTGGTGCTCCTACATCCAGTTGTTGGTGGGTAGGCACAAAATGCAGTTTTCATATCGATTTTCTTTTCGCATTTTTCATATTTCACTTACGAAAGAAGTACCGCCGCTGCTACATTGAATGCACCTCTCCAGCTGTCATTAGTCATGTCATTCGTAAACGTTTTCATTTCAAATGAAATGAATTGAATTGCATTAAATCGCGGCGAGAATAAAAATCGTGAAAATTGTAATAAAAACAAATTGAAAAAAAAAATGTTAAGTATTTGTTTGGAATTAATGGGCAGGTGAATTATTGTCGATAGCTGTCTGGGTAAGTCGGTCGATTATTTGTTTCTGGTGAACACAATTTATATATTGAGGAAATTATGGCCACTCGTTCAGCCTGTAAATTAGTCAATGAGAGGAAAGCAGTGACTTACTTTTTTTTTAATTCTTTTCTAAAAAAAATCTGGGATACATTCTTTCACAAACAGAGAAGTTTCTCGGATATGACTTTTACCCTTCAGGGTCTTTTTTCTGCTTTTGGACTTTTGGTATTGAAAATGAGATTTCCATAGAAAAAGACTTTTTCCATAGAAAAAGACTTTTTCTATAGAAGAAGACTTTTTCCATAGAAAAAGACTTTTTCTATAGAAGAAGACTTTTTCCATAGAACAAGATTTTTCTATTGAAGAAGACTTTTTCCATAGAACAAGACTTTTTCTATAGAAGAAGACTTTTTCCATAGAAAGATACCTTTTTTATAGAAGAAGACTTTCCATAGAAAAAGACTATTTCCATAGAAAATGACCTTTTTCTTTAGAAAAAGACTTTTTCTATAGAAAAAGACTTTTAATATAAAAAATGACCTTTTTCCATAGAAAAATACTTTTTTCCATAAAAAAAAAAACTTTTTTCCATAGAAAAAGACTTTTTTTCCATAGAAAAAGACTTTTTTCCATAGAAAAAGACCTTTTTCTATAGAAAATGACTTTTTCCATAGAAAGAGACTTTTTCCATAGAAAAAGACTTTTTCCATAGAAAAAGACTTTTTCCATAGAAAAAGACTTTTTCCATAGAAAAAGACTTTTTCCATAGAAAAAGACTTTTTCCATAGAAAAAAACTTTTTCCATAGAAAAAAACTTTTCCATAGAAAAAGACTTTTTCCATAGAAAAAGACTTTTTCCATAGAAAAAGACTTTTTCCATAGAAAAAGACTTTTTCCATAGAAAAAGACTTTTTCCATAGAAAAAGACTTTTTCCATAGAAAAAGACTTTTTCCATAGAAAAAGACCTTTTTCCATAGAAAAAGACCTTTTTCCATAGAAAAAGACTTTTTCCATAGAAAAAGACTTTTTTCCATAGAAAAAGACTTTTTTCCATAGAAAACAGACTTTTTCCATAGAAAACAGACTTTTTCCATAGAAAACAGACTTTTTCCATAGAAAACAGACTTTTTCCATAGAAAACAGACTTTTTCCATAGAAAAAGACTTTTTCCATAGAAAAAGTCCTTTTTCCATAGAAAAAGACCTTTTTTCCATAGAAAAAGACCTTTTTTCCATAGAAAATAACTTTTTCCATAGAAAAAGACTTTTTCCATAGAAAAAGACCTTTTTCCATAGAAAAAAGACTTTTTCCATAGAAAAAAAGACTTTTTCCATAGAAAAAAAGACTTTTTCCATAGAAAAAGACTTTTTCCATAGAAAAAGACCTTTTTCCATAGAAAAAAGACTTTTTCCATAGAAAAAAAGACTTTTTCCATAGAAAAAGTCCTTTTTCCATAGAAAAAGACTTTTTTCCATAGAAGAAGACTTTTTTTCCATAGAAAAAGACTTTTTTCCATAGAAGAAGACTTTTTTCCATAGAAAAACACTTTTTCCATAGAACAAAGACTTTTTCCATAGAAGAAAGACTTTTTCCATAGAAGAAAGACTTTTTCCATAGAACAAAGACTTTTTCCATAGAACAAAGACTTTTTCCCATAGAAAGTGACCTTTTTTCATAGAAAAAGACTTTTTTCCATAGAAAATGGCTTTTTCCATAAAAAAAAATGTTTCTATAGAAAACACTTTTTCTATAGAAGAGATCATCAGTGATGAGAAGAACATTAAAATTGACGTTTTCCATGGAAAGAAGATGACCTCCATTGATTTTTTTTTAGAGATTTGTCACTTCGCATGAAATTTTCTTCGTCGCTCATTTGATGTTAGTCAAAAAAATCTACCTCATGTTCGGAACCGCAATTAGGCTTTATTAATACATTTTATTTACAAAAATAAACGCCGTAATTTACATTCGGTTGCACAACCACACATACACCCACATGGCTATTTCTAGCCATTAACACTCTTCTCTAACCTCCTCCCCCACAGGTTCATGGTTGAACTTGAACTTCGGTTATATAGGATGGAACCTCTGAAAGTGATGTGGACGGTGTTACATATGTACTGGCCACAGATTCCGCTACAGGTTCCCTGTGTTCTTGTTGTTGTCGCTGTTGTTGTTGTTGTTGTGGCTGTTGTTGTTGTTGTTGTTGTGGTTCTTGTTCTTGCACACTTTCATTCCGCCTCACTACAGGTGATTTCTTCGGCATATTGATGGCCTCAAGGAATGCCCGACCACCTTTTAGATGACCATGGACATGGCGGCAAACCGCAATACCAACACCTAAGCCCAACAGGCTGCCAGCCAAAACATCCGACGCATGATGTTTGTAGTCCGTCACACGGCTAATGGCCACAAACCAGGCCCAGAGTACGGCAGCGAATTGCAGGAACGGCACGAAAAGGCCAAAGCAGGCACGATAGAGGCGCAGGGAACGGCCAAACCGTTGCAGATAGAAAACGACAAAGGTCATGGCGTAAACGGTCAGGCTGGCGTGACCACTGGGAAAGGATGTACGCATTGCATAGTTAATTAGGTGAGAGATATTGTCGGCATTGGCTGCACCCTGGCATGAGTAGTGTTCAATGTATTTTCCCTGATTCTCCTCCCACTCACAGCTGGTGCCATCGGCGAGAACAGGTTGACAAACTGCAAAAAAGTATGGCCTTAAACGGCCTACAGCAAATTTGCCAATTTCCTTTAGCAAACGTTCAGCGGCAAATCCGAACAGGAAGGGCAGCAAAGAGACGTGGATCATTAGCCATGATCTCAGCAAATTCTTAGAGGGTCGACTATTCAGCACGAAATTCTCCACCAGTGCAAGGGCCACAATCATCACCACGGGAATGCCCAAACCAATGCCATAGAGCCACACATAAGTGACCGTATCCCTGTGCAGGGGATATATGAGCGAGGTGTCACCACAAACGAAGCCATGCTTCTTTATTGGCCCCCATATCTTGGAGATGTTTAGCGACAAGGCCAACAGGAATGTGACAATTATGAAATCACTCAAAAGTCGTAGCAAATATTTCACTTTCAGAATCATTCTGAAGAGTTGGTATTCTGATGTGGACTACACTTGGCGGAAGAAGTACTTAAACTGAATAGAAATTCATCATCTTCAACCGCGAGAGAGGAGAGAGATACACAATATGGGTTTTTTCGGAGGTATAATAAATATCTAAGTCATCGGCAAAACCACAAACAGCTAATTTTAGGATAAGCTATTTGCAGGGTGTGATACAATACGAACAATAATAGAATAGGCCAGTTATACAAAAAATTTTCAGATTTAGTAACCGTTTTGGTTACTCAAAATTTTGACCTTTCTTGGGGGATGTACCAGAAGGAATGGTCTGATCTCTACCGTTTTTTCAACAGATCCTGTGTTGATGGAAATATTGAGATGTGCATAGTCTAAATGGAATCGGATATTAATTTCTCGTTTTATGAGCTTCATGGATATTAAAAATTTCGGCCTTTTGTGGGGCAGGTACCAGAAGGAGTAGACCGATGTAGTCCATCTTAGTACCACATCTTGAGTTTATAAAAATATTGGGATATGTGAAATTTGAAGACAATCGGACTCTTACATCACATTTTATAAGGGTTGTAATTATTCCAAATTTTGACCATTTGTGGGGGAGGGCGTCGATGGAGTGGACCGACATTGTCCATTTTCTAACATGATCTAGCAATGACGTACATATTATTATTTCCAAAGTTGGAGCAAAATCGGATAATCGTTTCTCTTTCTGTGCAGAAAATATGTTTTTGAAAAATGTCGGCCTTTTGTGGGGCCTGTACCAGAATGAGTAGCCTGGTCTTGGGTTTATAAAAATATTGGGATGTGTGAAATTTGAAGAAAATCGGACTCTTACATTACATTTTATGAGAGTTGTAATTATTCAAAATTTTGAACTTTTGTGAGGGAGGTACTTGATGGAATGGACCTGACCTATCTTAGGCGCAAATATTAGGGTTTGCAAAATTCTTTCACTTTTTGTGCAGAAGTATTTTTTTTTTTTTTTTTTTTTTTTTTGAAAGTTTCGACCTTTTTTGGGGGTTGTACCAGAAGGAGTGAATCGATATTGTCCATCACCGAACTCGATCAAAGTGTGACAAAAATATTACGATTTACCAAGATAGGACAAAATCGGATACTCCCTTCGAGAGTTATCGTGAGCACCAGCCAGCTAGATAGACTGACGGACGGACATCGCTATTTCGACTTCAAATGTCCTGAAACGGATTTGGTCCAAAGAAGACCTAGGGTCTTAAGCCGTTATTTCGGCTAAGCACGTTTTGACCTATAAAATGATATATACCCTCTCTAGCCACATGGCTGCGGGTTTAAAAGTCATCACTGAGGACCTCTTCTATAGAAAAAATATTTACACATGACCTCTTCTATTGAAAAAGTCATCACTGATGACCTCTTCTATAGAAAAAGTCATCACTGATGACCACTTCTATGAAAAAAGTCATCACTGAGGACATTTTCTGATGACCTCTTCTACAGAAAAAATCATTACCGACGACCTCTTCCATAGAAAAAGTCATCACTGATGACCTCTTCCATTAAAAAAGATGACCTCTTCTATAGAAAAAGTCAACACGGATGACCTCTTCCATAGAAAAAGTCATCACGGATGACCTCTTCTATAGAAAAAGTCATCACTTATGACCTCTTCTATTGAAAAAGTCATCGTTGATGACCTCTTCTGTAGAAAAAGTCATCACCGACGACCTCTTCTGATGACCTCTTCTACAGAAAAAATCATCATTGATGACCTCTTCTATAGAAAAAGTCATCACTGATGATATCTTCTATAGAAAAGGTCATCACCGACGACCTCTTCTGATGACATCTTCTACAGAAAAAATCATCATTGATGACCTCTTCCATAGAAAAAGTCATCACTGATGACCTCTTCTATGGAAAAAATTATCACTGATGACCTCCTCAATAGAAAAAATCATCACTGATGACCTCTTCTATAGAAAAAGTCATCCCTGATGATATCTTCTATAGAAAAGGTCATCACCGACCTTTTCTATGAAAAAGTCATCACAGCTGACCTCTTCTGTAGAAAAAGTCATCACAGATGACCTCTTCTATAGACAAATTCATCACTGATGACCTCTTCTGTAGAAAAAGTCATCACTGATGACCTCTTCTATTGAAAAAGTCATCACTGATAACCTCTTCTATTGAAAAAGTAATCACTGATGACCTCTTCTATAGGAAAAAGCATCACTGATGACCTCTTCTATTGAAAAAATATTTACACATGACGTCTTCAATAGAAAAGTCACTACTGATGACCTCTTCTATACATAAAGTCATCACTGATGACCTCTTCTATAGAAAAAGTCATCAGTGATGACCTCTTCTATAGAAAAAGTCATCAGTGATGACCTCTTCTATGAAAAAGTCATCACTGATGACATCTTCTATAGAAAAAGTCATAACTCATGACCTCTTCTATAGAAAAAATATTTACACATGACCTCTTCTATAGAAAAAGTCATCACTGATGGCCTCTTCTATAGGAAAGTCATCACTGATAACATCTTCTATAGAAAAAGTCATCACTGATGACCTCTTCTATAGAAAAAGTCATCACTGAAGACCTCTGCTATAGAAAAAGTCATCACTGATGACCTCTTCCATAGTAAAGGCCATCACCGACGACCTCTTCTATAGAAAAAGTCATCACTGATGACCTCTTCTATTGAAAATGATGACTTTTTCTATAGCAGAGGTCATCAACTGATGATCAAGATCAAGAAGTCATCACTGATGACTTCTTCTATAAAAAAAGTCATCACTGATGACTTCTTCTATAGAAAAAGTCATCACTGATGACCTCTTCTATAGAAAAAGTCATCACTGATGACCTCTTCTATAGAAAAAGTCATCACTGATGAGCTCTTCTATAGAAAAAGTCAACACTCATGACCTCTTCTATAGAAAAAGTCATAACTCATGACCTCTCCTATAGAAAAAGTCATAACTCATGACCTCTCCTATAGAAAAAGTCATCACCTCTTCTATAGAAAATGTCATCTCACTTTCCAGTTTTTTTGTGGTAACTTTTTCAATAGAAAAGGTCATTAGTGATGACATTTTCTAATGAACTCATCAGTGGGGACATATTTTATAGAGGAGGTCATCAGTGATAAACGGTGATTTCTTCTATAGAAAAGGGTCATCAGTGATGGGTGTTTCCATAAAAGCGGTCACCAGTTTTGTTTTTTTTTTTCGATAGAAGAGGTCATCAGTGGTGACTTTTCCTATAGAAGACGTCATCAGTGTTATCTAATCCCATAGAAGAGGTCATCCGTGGTGACTTGTAGAAGAGGTCATCCGTGATGACTTATAGAAGAGGTCTTCAGTTTTGACTTAGTCTGTAGAAGAGGTCATCATCAATGAAATCCTCTTTAGCCTTGGGCCCTGTAGAAGTTTTCTTTCCCAAAACCCTATTCAGCCCCGAAGGCTGAGTAGGAGTTTTCGTTACCGTTAATTTAATCGTTACCGAAAATGCTATTTGTAGCCGAAAATCCTATTTCGTTACCGAAAACCCTATTTAGCCGTGAGGGCTGAGTAGAAGTTTTCGTCACCGAAAAATCCAATTTAGCCCCGAGTGCTTTAGTGAAAATCCTTACTTCTCTTTACTGAAAATCATATCCAGCCCCTAGGGGATAGCAGGAGTTTTCGTTACCGAAAATCCTATTCGGACCCGAGGCTGATTAGGAAATTTCGTTACCGAAAATCCTCTTCAGCCCCGAGGCTGAGTAGGAGTTTTCGTTACTAATCAGCCCCGATAGAAAATGTCATCACTGATGACCTGTCCTTTCTATCGCAAAGGTCATCACTGATATCAGTTTTTTTATGGACAGAGTCATGTTCACAGAACTTTTCTTTGGAAGAAAGTTCCTCTGCTTTGGGCAATCCTCTATGGAAATGCCATCTTCTCAGTTCCTTTCTTATAGGAAAATTTATTTTCTTTTACTTCTTTTGCATCGCTCTTCATTATTAATATGTTTAAGACGCATAAGTTTTCCAGACGCTCGCATAATTTTTAATAAATCTGATGTTGATAGCAATCAGCGATTTCGTAGCATCATGCAGGAGGGGAAGTATAGCCAAGCAACACGGGGTTATATTTTTGTTGTCAACCAGAAGTTGGGACACGATCTTGTTGATGTGTAACAAAATACCCGTCTCAACTGATAACGCACCGGTAATAGCTGTAATTGGTTCGGAATTGAATATCAAATTTTGCTCATTATTTTTATAATTTGTTCCCGTTGGGTCCCATTCCCCGCTTACGGATTCATTGACTTAGCTGTGTTCTGAATTCTCAGACACTTGACAATTGAGTAAAATTTCCATTGTTGTAAACAACAACAATAACGCAATCATGGGCAGCTAATTCGCAAGGAAAATATACACACATTTTTTCAGTATTATTTCAAGTGCCGAGTGTAAACGTCATCAGCGGTGGTTACAAAAAAAAGTTAGAAAACCTCGGAAAATGAGATCAATTGTCTTAAAACAAATTGCCATTATTGCGCCGTTTGCCATAATATTGTGGCTAAGTTTTAATTTGGAGGCGGTGTTGGGTTCGCCCCGGAGAAGAGGATTTGATTGCAAGGATGCAAGCATCAGGCAGCCATATCTGGCAGATACCATAAATACCAGGACCCTATATCTGCTGGGATTGTATTTACCGCTTATCAGCATAATTCTAAATGAACTTCTCTTTTCGAGAATTAGATATCAACAAAGATCTGCTCCGGGATTAAAGGGATATTTGGTGGATCTCTATTTGGCCGCCATGCCATTCTTCTGTGGATTTGCCAGTGAGAGATTTATTAAAAATTTACTCAAATTAACTGTGGGCCGTCTGAGACCCCACTCCTATACTTTGTGTCAGCCCATCAGCCTGGAGGGCTTAACCTGCAATGAACTACCCGAAAATTCCCCCTTTATGCTGGAATACACCTGTACGGGGACAATGCATCTTAGCTCTTCGATATACAAATCCTTTCCCAGTGGCCACTCAAGTCTATCGTGTTATGGTTTGATCTATTTGGCC